TATATCCTATAAAACTGTAAACTAAAATAAATCTCTTTTCTTTATAAAGCATTCAACCTTGGATGTTATGTTACTGCTATACCAAACAAACAAGAAAATTCTATTATTGGATAAAAATAATGTTGTAATTCTATACTTGTGATCTTGTATGTATATCAATAATATATACACACATTTACACATATACCTATATATACACCTCCATATTCATAAAAACTGACTAAATGGTGACAAAAGAATTTGCTACCAAGGTTTATTTCCAGGTAATAGATTGGAAAGTAAAGGGAACCCTATTTGGAAAGTCTTTTACACTCAGTATGCTTTTGAATTTTGAGCTTTGAATTTCATTATTTATAGTTTTTGTTTCTTAAAGTCACTTAAATTAATTTTTAAAAGCATACTGCATAATTTTGGAATCACATTTAAGAATAGGAAAACCAGATCTTCTTTTTTAGGGTATCTAAGGGATTTGCTGTGGAAATTCTTTTGATCCTACTTATCCCACTAGGTTAGAAGTACATTTAAAAGGAGGTAACACTGAGATGAAGACGCCCCACTTAAAGGTATTCTCACTTTTTGAATCCCTTTCTGATAGAAGAAGTATATACAAGTTAGGGAGGCTGTTGCTATGTTTAGTTGAACAATCTATAAACATATGTAATCTTTCAGTCACATTTACTTATTAGGCAGCAAAAGCGCTTTGCATTGGTAATTTGCTTTAAAAAAAATAAAAGCTTTAATTTTATTTTTGTCTAACGGAGGTGCTGAATTAAAAAAATATATGAAAACCTTGGGTTTTGACCAGTAATGTAATGTTTTCCAAATTTTGTGACATACTTTTCCTGAAAATGTGCCCGGAAATTTAGAGGACACAACCTCTGACTCAGACATCACCTGCCTAGAAATAAAGGATAATCAAAATAAATATTCTGTCTTCTTAAACAGCGTTACTATAGAAAGGAAGTTTGCATTTGCTCATTAGCTATAAAGTTAGTGTATTCATCATAAAAATTACAGTTTAGTCATGCATGACAACAAATCTTCCAAAGATTCAATAAGGGCATCTTGCGTTTCTTACACTACTGTAATTAGATAACCAAATTGTAATTAAGTAAAAATGAAAGCTGACCTTTCTCCCTGAGATGAAGCAACACTAACCATATGAATAACAGAAGATTTATGATTCAAATGAGCTTAAATAGAATTTAAAGCAATGGAACTCTGATTTCTCTTGAGAACTATCATTTTTCCCTGCCTTGTCAGTAGCACAGATTTAACAAACTATCCAATTTACTGGAACATGAGAAGTGCGTATTCACATGACATTCCAGTGTGCTGTGCTGCTCTGTAGATATTTTGTGCAATCTATCAACTATTAAAATTCTTCCAGTGGTATGGTGAGAGTTCAGAGTTAGGGCAGAACCTTGTGTTGAGAAGCAGAAAAAACCAGTTGTATTGACAGTCAACATTTTTACTTGTTCACCCCCAAAAGTGAATTCTTCACACAGTTTTACCTCCCTAGAGTCTGTTCGTATGAGAAACACACTACAAAGAGAAACAGTCTTGCCTCCCTAACTGGGGATTGACATCTTTCAGGAGATCTGATAGTGACCCAAGATCCAGTAAGGACCCAGTGATATGATTTATTGCACAAATGCTACAATAATGATTATAAGCCATGGTTGAAGACTTTTATCATTTCTTCCAGAATCTTTTCTTAAATCTACAGAAAGTACATGGCTCACTACTTAGAAGACTAAATCTTCAAAGAGGCAAAGTGGAATGGCAAACTTCAGCTAACCTTATGCTGGTGTTTTCCCCTTTTACTACTCTTTTCCCTTCTCTACATCATTCATTCCTCTCCTAATCAACAGGTATACCTCTTGCTTAAGCATTCATCCATACTAGTAAAAACATCAAGATCACAAATTATTCATTTAACAGTTCCCTAAAACACTGTCTTGTTTTCAGACATCAACCTGCTTGAGACCTCAGGGACCTTCCAGCCAAGCCTGAGAAGGACTTGAAAGGTTTCTAGCAGGAGTTGATGCCCCTGGTCCCACTCAAGAGGCAGAGTACAAGGATGGCAATGAGGAAAGGGGCGGCTTCTACAGGGGAATTTATAAGGTTTTCTCAACATGGGGAACAGAAGATATGACTGAGGAGGGAAATTGCAAATTGTGGGCCACATATTTGAGATGTACATGTTGAAACTTGGAAGTTATGTGTAAAATAGAAATAAATGGGCATTTTCTTTAAGTGGTAGGTGTGGAATGATTCTGTAGGTAAAAGAAATAGGTAGCAATCCAAGCAATTTGACTTGTTTATAATCACAGAGGTTATCTTCGCCAACCCCACTAACAAAATAAATCACTGTGAATGAAGCAGAAATAGCTTCTTCCTGCTTATTCTCAACTTTCTTTCTGTACCAACTCTCACTTTCTACCATTGGCATGATCTAAGGATATAATGTGATGTCTACTAATTGAGTTAAATAATCACCATTTGTTGAGTGCTTGCTATTTTCCAAGCACTATTTTAAGAGCGTTAATGCCTTATTTGATGAACAAACACATAATTATATAGGTATTGTATCTATGTTACAAATGAGATTGGGACTCAGGGTTTAAATAAATTGCCCAGTGCCCCCTGGCTGCCAAGTCCTCCTATCCCAGCAGCCCAACAAGAATCCATGTTATCAGCCCTCAACTCACTCATTCAGCATTTGCACGTGTATTTTGGTTTTTGGCCTTAGAAAACTTAAATGTTTTCATATTTTGGCACCATATACTGGTCAGTTTAATCCCAATTTTGATGATGAAACTAAGGTGAACAAGGTAAATTGTTTATGTAATATAGAAAAATAGGAAGACTGTCAGAGCAAAGATTGATGGTGAAAATTCCATGTTTCTATGGCACTATTTAGCCAGTTTTGCTATGTTATAGACAACAAACTGGTAATTGGCTTGGCCATTCTTTATCTAGGAATACACGCCATCTGGAGAATTGTATTTTAAATATAGTGGTCTAAGTTCAAACACGCCACACAGCCTATTCAAGCGATATGATAATGATATTAATGAGCAGAAGCCACAGTAAGAAAAATCCAAAAAGGCAAAGTGAATCTCCTCTCCCTCTCTCTCTCTGTCTCTCTGTCTCTCTCTAACACACACACACACACACACACACACACACACACACACTCTAGTGCTAAAGGAAGATATATGTGAAATATGCATGCATACATGGAGTTGAAGTTGTAATGCATGGAAGACGAGGTATGTAAAATAACTCTGTCTAGGTATTGGTTGACAATTGAAATAAAGATCTGTTCAACCACCTTCATTCAATCTCTGAAAACTCTCATTTACTTTGATGTCTCCAAAATACAGATTTTGCCAGATATATATTCCTTTTAGCCACAAGGAAATGTTGCTTAACCTTGGTGAAAAGACTAAGTTAGCATTTTTGAACTGCAGATAAACACATTAGTTTTTAGAAGGTGGATGTTTTTTCTAGAATATCTCCTCATTAGAACCTGGCAGGACATCTTTGCTTTTCCTGTGTTGGCTTGGTCTCTTCTGTGCTATTCATGAGTCTGGCAGCACATGTTGAATTTTACCTCATGATTTGGATAGAAGTGTATAGCCTGGATGTGTTGCGTATTGGTAGGATTTGTAGCTCATAGACCAGATGAACTTGGAAAGCTCCCCAGGTGTGGAAATAATGATAAATAGGGAGATTTCAGACATACCATTCAAAGCTCTGCTGTGGAAATCTATATATATTGTATTCTTTAAATAAAAACCTATAGAAATGTTAGAAACAATGTAGAAAAATTCTTATTTAAAAAATAAAATGGATAAATTTCAAATATGAAAATCAGATAATGTGGTAGTTTGATATCATTACTTTTAGCTCTCTGGTCTTTAGTATTTGCCACCTTACTTACATTTAACTCCTAAAAGTTTAAAAAAGTATCAATGCTCTTTCTTTGTACATTAAAAATGCTCTATGTTAATGGTAATAGTGTATAGCATGCCATATTTTTACTTTGTTTTTACATATGGTCTCTCATTCGATCCTTTCCTAAGCTCAGTTAAGTAGAGTGATAAGTATAGACAAGAAAAGAGCACAGACGTGAGCTACCAGAAAAGCACACCAGAGACTTTCACACCATGTCCTCTCTAGGGCTCTTTGCTGGGCTTTATACCTCATGAATCTCTCTCTCTCTCTCTCTCTCTCTCTCTCTCTCATAGTTCTATAGAGCAAGACTAGAAAGTTAGAGATAAAAGCAGTTATTAGCCTTCATTCTAGATTCTAATATAAAATCTCATACTTTTTTACTTGGGACTAATGTAATGTGCCACAAAATGGGAAATGCTATAAGTAGAAAATAGAGTTGGAATATTTTTAGAAGACATTTTTCACTAAAGAAAAGAATAGCTATAAATAGTTAACATAAAAATATCTACTCACCCTGCTATCTATATACAATCTCTATTAATAGACCGTCACATTTTGAATTTAGTGCTTCAGGTCAACACTTGGTTAATGTATTCAAAATTTTCCCCAATCCCACCAGACTACATCTGAAATAAGCAAAACATAACAGATGGAGAACAAAAAGACTTTTCTTGTATAACCGATTTAAATGTCCAGAGTTCTGAGTTCCTGTATGAAGCAGAAATGTTTCAGAACAAATGGTAGACATGGACTCGGGAGGTTGACTGCTATTTCCTCTAATAGCGGAGTTTGCTCACTGTCTTTCCTTTTTCCTCCGTGTCCCACTATTTGTCCCCTCTGTTTCTGTCTTTTTAACTCTTGCTATATTGTACATGCTTTTGTAGATTTTCAGGAACAGCTTTGAATCTGGACACTATGGCTGCCTGAAAGAATTACAGAATAGAGTGAAAGCTTTACCCCAAAGTTCTATGCATTACAAAAGCTTGCACTTGGATAATAGAAATATTTAGCCTCAGGTGACTGAGAACACTTACTGTTGGTTGCATAACGTATGGCGGATGAGGCATCCATGAAGTACTCTGGACCTATGCATCAAACAGCATTTATTAGCACAAAGCAATCACAGAAAGAACTTGGTTCTTGTGTTCAGTGGAGTCACAGTACGTCATGAAAAAATGGAGTCCATCTGACATTGCAGCCAATTAGTGCTCAAAATCAAGGACGAAAAGGGAATTCATGACTTGATTAATTTCATCCCTGAGACACAATGAAATGTAAAGCAACTTCCCAATTCACTGGCTGGCTTCCATGGCCACATGGACCGTGTTGGATCTTGAAGCTCATTTTGAGATTGGTAGTGAAGGCAAAAATCTTCAAAAGCCACAGAGATTATTTGCATGTCAACTTCCAGGGATATTTGGTAGGTAACTAAGGAAGCAGGAGTTGACTGCTAAGTTGTCCTCTTTTTCTGTTAGTGGTTGTAACTTCAAATGCTATGGTGATTCCATCTTAGAAAAATATCCAACCAGTACAATGCGTGGTAAGAACTAATGAAATAAACCAGAAATGTGGGGATAATGTTTCGGGCTAAACCCAAGTTAAGCAAATTTGCATTTTTCTTGGCTGTCACTGCAATTGGTATAGCAAATAAAAATGAGCATTCGAGCCAGCCAACTCTTCTTAAATGAATCATGTGTCAGCCAAACGAGGAAATCAGCCTGCAGAAGCTGATTGTCATATAGAAAACCATGAAGATCATGTTTTCAATGTACTCACACCAACAAAATTGCCAGTACACTTTGGAATTTAAACAGTGGGAAAAAGCAAGAATCAACAACATGGGAAATTGCTGTAATCCCTTTTTTGAAAGATGGGAGCAAGGGTTAAATTCCATTTATAAGCCCTCCCAAGTAAAATCACTTTTCTGTGAACATTTTATTCACATCATCAAAGTGATCTACACTGAGGCTCCACGGGTGGTCCTGGCCAGAACAGAGGCCAAGATCAGAGAAAAGAAAGCACATGTGCACACGAGCACACACTCACAGGGGACACACACAAGCAGGCGGGCCTGCCGCAAGAACAAAAATGACCAGCACCTGCACAGAGCCTCGAGAGTTCCAAGGAGAGGCAATTAAAAAGCTGCCGTTCTAGGACTCCTTAATGCAGTTCAAACAATAGCCTATTGCCTTCACCTAAGGAAAAATGTATATTTTCTCAAGTTTGATGTTCTGACAGCTGGGGCATCCTGAAATGAAGTATGTAGTAGCTGAATAAGATGAAATTTCACCGCATGACTAGCAGTCAGCAATATTATAGTTTTGCCCATTATAAATCATCCCCCACAGCATGTGCAAAATACAGAGAAGACCATGCATACACACACTCGCACACAGTCTTTTTTTCTTTCTCTCTTCAAACATTTTTTTAAAAAATGCACTAGATATTCTCTGTCTACACATAGCATTTAAAGATGTTTTCTGAATTGGAAATAAAAGAATTATTTGAAGAACAATATTAAGTAAAGAGGAACAAGGAGGCATATCATGTTTGATAACTCAAAGGAATAAAATAATTACTAGTTTTTGAGGTGCAAGTGTGACTTCTAATCCACCTGTGCACTTAGAATGAATTGGTAACAACACCCTATTTAGGACACACATTGAGTCTTAGCTGTTCTTTTATTTCCACTTGTGGAACCCTTGATGTCTCTTTTGATCTCTTTAGGATTGAGAATGAAGTAAGAGCAGGGAGTGGGAATAACCTTTAACCACTTTGATAATCTCTCTATTTGCAGGAAGTGTGATTTGACACCTTTCTCTACAGCTTTGCCAGGACAACAGCGACAAAATGAGATGACAGTGATAAAATATCCTGGAGTAAGTGAAAGAATGTTTACAAATGTGCTTTTAGAAAAGACACAATAGGAAATGTTAATGACCAAAATAAAAGACAACAAGCAAAATAATTTCCCAGTGGTAAGAGAGCTGTCCTGATATTGGCTGGGAGGGAGCATAATCATAAAAACTCAGCAGGAAGAATGAAAGCATGTTGGATTTTATTATTCAGTGAGTCGATGCAAACCAGTCCTAGAAAGAATAGGCTGATGCATAACTTGACCATTAGGACATTAAGATGTGACTAAAGTGTATGAGGACAATTTTTGTTCTAATCTACCGTGTCCTTTTTGCCTGTAGGTAGTGAATTGATGGCAAGGAAGATCTCTCCTGAGGTGCAGGTAAATTGGACATACCTGGTATGTGGAGACAGGGGAAGCAGCAATGAATGGCGTGATAGATGTCTGTGGAATCATGCGGTTGGTTGCAATACTGTACGGTGAAGAATAAAATCTGCAAACAGAAACAACAAGAAAGAAGATTCATGAAGCTGCTGCATGCCTGGCCGCTAATCAAATGCAACCAAGAACAACTGGGAAAGACAAGAGTTTCACCTGCGTGTTTTCCCACCAGCTGTTAACAGGAACATTCAGGAGCTCACAGTACCTGACTGCACTGAGAAAAAGTAAATCATCTAAGCAGAGCAACAACTTCAAGTAATCTTTTAAAATTACCTGTACAAAGTCTCTCTTAGGGCAAATGAGTGTAATAGTGTCTTTAACCAAAGGAGGAAAAAAGCCACAGGCACCTTCTTTAAGAAAAGGTAATGGCAGTCTAAAGCTGCTTGACAGAAAGGTAAATGAAAACACCAAGCTTTAGAATGATGACTGATCTTATACAGGCAGGAACTGCATCTTTTTATCCAACAAATAGGTCAGGTCCTTAAAAGCTCTGGCTATTTGGTGCTAGGGTCCGTGACCACGTGAAGAGAACCCTACCTACATGAAAAGAGAAGACAGAAGATGATTTGTGTCTAATAGGATTTGTGTCTAATAGGAATAGGATTATTTTCTGGATTTTGTCAAGGCACTGGGAGACATACTGAACTGATGAGAGAAATTCTTGGTGATTCTGTGAGAACACTAACATTTCTAGTCCTCCAAGAACCTTCATCGAACAGTCGCAAAATTAGACTGAGCAAGATTAGTAATTCTTGTATGAGAAGAGGGATGATTCTTCTGGAGATCTTTAAAAGGGTAGCCCATAGACATAAAACTCAGTGATGCGTCCATTTCTGTTCAGTCTATACCTTCCTGTTCCACTTGCCTAATGCTTCAGTAGAATTCTAAATCATGCTTCCTCCTTCATGTCTCACTGTAAGTGGGGACTAACACGGTCAGTCACAGAAAAAACAAAGCTAGGGTTTCTGAGATAGGGTATTTCCCTGATGTGAGACTAGATATGTATCCAGAAGAATGAATCATATTTCATATTGCCATATGCTTATCAAAAGTTAGTTAGTATGTTCATATTTTTAAATTAGACAGTTTTCATCAAGCCTGATCAATCAGTGATGTTTGAACAGAGAATTTCATGGGTTAATTCAAAAAGAGGCAGTTTCTGAGACTCGGACTGAATGTAGAATTAAAATGTAAGGTTTTTAGGAGTCAAGGAGCAAATTCTTATAGTAAGACCAGAGAAATACAGTCTTAAATTCACTTTATTAAGATCTTAACAAGGATCTCATAAAGCTATACATTTTTGGTTTTATAAAGTATAGCTGAAAAATTGTGTTCATTGTACACTGCAGCTCTATTATTTGTGCTCATTGAACCCCTAAGTTTACAGAAGTGAAATTTAAAAAAAATAGCTGTTCAACTCTTAACAAATAGAAAAAAGACAGTACTAAGTGCTGGTAAGAATGCAGAGAATTATTACTGAAGGTAATGTAAAATAGTATAGCCACTTTGGAAAACCGATTGGTAGCATCTTACAAAATTAAACATACACACAGCATATGAATGAGAAATGCCCTTCTTCTTAAGGAAAGATAAATTATAGCTTTATTTACATAAAACCTAAGAGCAAATGTTTATAGAAGCTTTATTAATAGTTGACTGAAAATAGAAACAACCCATTTAATCCAATTTGTTAAACCAAATCAATAAATTGTGCTATATTCATTAATTAGAATATTATTAATCAATAAAAAGAGAATAGAGTCATCTTTGATTTCTGTGGAGATTGCCTACAGGACCTACTGTAAGTAACCAAGTCCAAAGATTGTAAAGTCCTTTTTATAAAATGATCTCATATTTTCGTAAAACCTGTACATATCTTCCTGTATGCTTTATATTGTACCATCCCTGGATACTTATACTTAGTGCAATGTAAATGACACATGGCAAGTTATAATGAATGACAAAGAAGTCTGCACATTTTTGCTGCAGATACATTTTTTTCCAAGTAATTTTCATCATAGTTTGATTGAATGTGTACATGTAAAACCCACACAAAGGCAAGGCCACCTGCAATGGTCGAAACATCGCACATAGCAATCTCAAGTGAATTATGCTAAGTGGAAAAATTCATACTGAAAGGCTGCATACCAAATGATCCCATTTAAATCACCCCATGGAAAGGTGAAAGCTAAAGTTACAGACAAGATATCAGGGGGTACGAAAATCTTGGGGTGGGAGAAGAGATACAGTTTAAAGGACAATGCAATAATTTGAGGAACAGATGGATGTAGCTGTTCAATATCTGGTTTACTATTGTGGTCACACAATTGTGCTTGTCAAAATTCTAGAAGCGTGTCTTAAGAAATGGAAATATGTTCTGAATAAATTAACTATCTTTAAAATTAATTGCGCATGAGAAGGTATCTATTCACCTGTCCATTTTAAAAAATATTATTGAGCTTTTATCATGTGTAACAAAGATGAAAAGACTAAAATATCTCTTATGCTTTCTGTACTTGATTACTTAAATTTGCCTTATCCATGTGCTTTTCAACCTAAAATCCTCCCAACATTTTCCGCTGCAATGAAAACAAGGTATGAACTCATCATACTAGCCAGAACAATCAGGCTACTGCCTACCTCTCTGACACATTTGTCTATCCTACCTATTCTAACCAACTAGAATCCAACCATCATGCTGACTTTCTTCTCTCCCATATGCACATCATTCTCATTCTCTTCTGGCTACTGAACTTAGAATTCTTGCTACCTAGAATACTCAGGTCCACAAATCTCTGAAGACTATTTCCTGTTCATCTTTGGTCTTATCCAGGTATCTTTTTTTTCCCCTTTGGAGAAGCATGCAGCTAAAATAGCATCTACCATCTCTGCCTCACTTGTTCTCTATCTCTTTTTCCCTATCGTGTTTGCTTGTTTACACTATCTGAAGTAGTACTTTCTAAAATATTACTTATACATGTAATGAATGGAATGTTTGAGTTCCCCAAACTGTCATATATTAAGATCTTAATCACTGGTGTGTTTGCATTTGGAGATGGGGCCACTAGGAAAGTAATTAAAAAGGAAATCAAAAGGATAGGACCTTGACTGGGCTGTATTAGCTCACTTAGTAATAAGAAACACCAAAGGTCTTATACTCTGCATTGCTACCCTCTTGCCTGGTGGCTATTCTGTAAGGCAGGTAAGGGAAGGACAGGCTAATTTGATCTAGCGCTTTTTGATCTCTAGTTTTCAAGGCTGATTTTTATCCACCTAGGTCTTATTATGGGGGAAATAGAGTATATGACAGAAGAAGAGCCTTCATCAAAGCTGAATCAACAGGAACCTCAGTCTTGAACTTCTAGCCATCAAAACTAGTGAGAAGATAAATTCCTGTTGTTTAGGTCTTCAAGTCACTGTATAATTTTTGTGGCAGCTCAAGCAGAGAAATTCAGTGTATTTATTCACTGTTTCTCCCCTTAGAGGAGAGGGTTGAGGTTGCATTGGGTTGAGGTCACACTGACCTTGTTGCCTAGAACAGAGGCTGGGATACAGTATACTTAATAACTATATGGTGAATGAATGACTGAGTGAATGAATGAATGAGGAGTAGCTTAAGAAATTAAATAGCGATACAGGAAAGAATGGCCAGTGACAAACTGACAATAGTAGAGAGGGTGGGTCTCTGAAAGAGGTAAGGAGCTGAGAGATGAGACATCAGAAAAGAGAGTTCAGGGGGTCTAAGTGCTGGAGGGAGTTTGATACCTGCTTTCTATGCATGCCAGGGCATTAGTAACTAGACACAACAGCCCTTTTCTGTGAAAAACATGGCTTGCATTTAATAACCTCTTTTAGGTGTTATCTTTGACAGATCTTATTTATGAGGCAGTGAACAGAAAGACATGTCCGGGGCTCATAATGACGTGACAGACACACATAACCACTCCACAAACTGTCCTTCTCATACATCATGAAGTGCTTTAACTTCTGGTAGAAAGTCAGGTTCAGCCTCTTATCCTGACGGAGAAAATAATGCATCAAATTTTAGCATGGCTGGTCTATTTTGCAAAATGTACCAATTGGAGTATTAAAAATGAAAGCAATAAAGATTGGATTGACAGGCAGAGCTTACAGGAAATTCTATGGGGAAAACAGAGAGCAGAAACATAAAGAAAGCAGCCAAGTAAATTGATACTAACAAAAGAAGCCCTTGGGGGGAAATTTAATGCATTTTTGTGCTATCTGCTCTAATCCTATCCATCAAAGAAGAATGATATTCCATACTTTCCAGTAAGTTCCAAAACGACCACTCAAGTCAGAGAATCATCTAGAATGGAAAACACACTGGGAAGAATGAACTGAGCACATCATTTTGATCCCCTAATTCTGGTATCCTAAAATAAGCTCTTCTCAAGCCCAAAAGTAAACCAGATGAATTTCTAGAAAACTCATGGGTAAGTCATGACAGGAGAGGTTGTATTGCACTTGAGGCTTAGAAAATACTGTGTCTAAAAAAAAATACAGGATCCAGGAGGAGACTGCAGAATGCATTTCCCTCCTCTCACTCAGTCCTGCCATGTGCCCATACTATGGTTTGCAAATACTTCCATAGAGGCAGCACATCGACAACAATGAAATCATTAAAGTCTAAATAAATGCTTCAAGCAGAGGCATCATGCTATTGGGAGACAGGAAAGAGAAAATGGATAAATTTTTAGTCATAATAACAGAAAAAAGGTAATTCCAAACGTGTCTTTACACACTTATACCTGGGAACTTATGCGTCATGTCTGCCAAATGCTGTTACAGGAAATCAAGAATGGATTGTTTAACAAATTATTTTCCTAAATATAGTTTCTTCTCTTAAGAGAGATTTCATTGTCAAGATTTATAATATACAGTATTACAAGTATAACAGCACCTTTTAAAATGCTTAGACTAGTGCTCATAAGCCAGAGATGATTTTGCTTTCCAGGGGACATTTAATGATATCTGGAGATAGTTATGGTTGCCGGGGGAGTGGATGTTACCAGCATCTACTGAGAAGAAACC